TCCATGATGCACTGAGGGAAAGTGTGAAGTAAGAGACAAGGGCAGCTGAAGAGGAGGAATCTGGACACTGATTGGACAGGATTTGAGCAGCCCCTTACTGTACGGCTTTGAGAGAGAAATGGGGGCTCCACTCCCAAAACAACTTCTCTCCCACTGACCACCCCGAGTCTCTACCATTTTTGATTTCTCATCCCCCACACATTTGATGTCATTGGAAGGCCAGAGCCATAGTTTGGGGGCTCTATAGTTACCACAGCCATAAACCAGACTTTGTTTCCCAAAGTTTCCAGCCTTGGGTATGTTGTTACATAGAAACAGAAAGCAGACTGAGACTGTAGCTACCTACTCTAACACAGTATGCATGACTTCTCAGCAACTCCCAACACACTCAGATGACCCTATGGGATGCTCTCAGTAGCCAAGAGCTCGGAGTAGTTCATCTGATGTCACACCCCTCCCATGAGCTGAGCTTTGTGGTTAAACAAGACTGCCCACTCTGGGTCCTATTGCCCTTGGATTCACAGAGCCCTTCCCTGGACAAGCCAACACAAATCTGCATTCCCACCACCCAGACACCTCCCGGAAATCCTGGGTGTGCGCATACTCATTGGTGAGACACCACAGAGATACTGACAAAGGCCATGGGGAGAAGTTTCCACTGCTCCTCACCAGAAGCAGGGAAGCCCTCAGTTGTATTTTAAATACTCACTCAGCTGCTAAGGAAGTAGCAGACATCTCTAAATTGTTGTCAAGACAACCAAAGCACAAATACAAACCTCTTCGGGATCCCATCCGGAAGCAGTTTTTTAAGCACACAGGCTCAAAAGAAATAGGCTACCCCTCCCCCTCCTTGTCTCCTCTCTGTCTCCATCTCTGCTCTTGCCACATGCCAATGTGTGAGAAAAATTCGTACTGGGAAACTTTCCACCTTTGAGGTTAAGACAGCTGCTGCAATACTGTTTTTGTTCGCTTTTGAGAATGTACGATGGAGGGGGGGGGATGTTGTTTTTAAGCATCTTGTTTCGTAACACTAGTACAGATTCCATAGTGTGATAGCTTGGCACATTATTAGCAAAACTGTGACTGACTGGGTCCTGAGGGTCCACAGACCCCTGCCCAGTGGGGTCAAACACGCCCCTGACCATGGCTAGCTTTCAGTGTGCCCACTGCCTGGTGGGGTCAAACCTGCCCCTGACCATAGCTGGCTTCCAGTGTGCCCACTGCCCAGTGGGGTCAAACATGCCCCTAACCATGGCTAGCTTCCACAGTGTGCCCACTGACCCCAGGGAAGAGCACTCGCAATGGCTGGCTGCACTGTTCCATGTGGCATAAACATGGGAAGCTCACAAATGTATAACAGGAAACAAACTTGAAGTTCTCAAGCACTTGACTTTCGAGATCACTAAGTGTTTAGGGTTTCTATTGTGGCGATGAAACACCATAACCAAAAAGCAAGTTGGGGAGGGAAGGGTTTATTCAGCTTACACTTCCACGTCACTGTACATCACCAAAGGAGGTCAGGACAGGAACTCAAACAGGGCAGGAATCTGGAGGCAGGAGCTGATGCAGAGGCCATGAAAGGGTGCTGCTACTGGCTTGCTCTACATAGTTTGCTCAGCCTGCTTTCTTACAGACCCATGACCACCAGTCCAGCCCACAGTGGGCTGGGCCTCCCCCAACAATCACTAAGAAATGCCCTACCACTGAACCTTAAGCAGGCATTTACTCAATAGAGGCCCCTTCCTCTCGGAAGACTCTAGCTTATATCAAGCTGACATAAAACAAGTCAATACACTAAGCTATCAGAGAACGTCCCACAGGCCAATACCAATCCAACTTGGAGCACTCGTCAAAAGAAACAAAGTCAGACACACCAAGTAAACAGTAGGAGCACCAGCGTTCTAGAAGGCACAGGGACAGGTAAAGAGACCATGCCACCTGGCCCCCTCGCACTGCTACTTGTCACAATGACCCTAATGTCAGAAGATAAATCCTCCAACCCAAGGGTAGGAGCTTGAGACTACAGCAAAGAGTCACCAGCAGGGACCCATCCAAAAAAAAAAAACAACCTTGAGCAGGGAGCATGTCTTCCAACAAGAGGCCAAGCCCAGACTAGCCACTAAGCCTCTCCAGCAACGGTAAGGCTTTGCTATATAGTAAATACACTCTGTCACCTTCCACATATCTGAGGGTAAAGCTGGCAAGGTCTTGATCATACTAAGATTTCGGGGAGGTGCGACATAGCTTTCAAAAGAGATCAGGAAGCTGAGGGCCATCTACATGCAGTACTTCACCTGGAATAGACGACCCTCACCATAAGAACAGAAGGTCCCTAGGATCCCTCCTAAAATCCTAAAAGGACCAAAGGGCTCATTATTGATTCCCTCTCCATCTTAGGGCCCAGAGGCTCTCTCAGATTCAGACAGTACAGGGCCATAGGCCTCCTTCAAACACCACCTCATAGAAAGAACCAGCCTATTTAGATAAGCAGCTAGAAATTCAGCCTGGCCCAGAGAAGGACCAGCCAAGCCAGGGAGCCTAAAGACTAGTTAGTACTCACTATGGACAAGATCTATCTCTCCTTGCAACAGACTATCTATCTTCTGACCTCAGGAACACTAAAATGTGCAACTACCTTCAAAATCAGGAGGATATCCATGTGCTATGGTACGAATGAAGTTTCAAAACTTCTAAAGATTCTTTCTCGGTTACAGAATCCTCCACCTCCAGTTCAGATTCCTATTTGTAGGGCCATGGCAAAGAGACAGAGATCAAGATAAGACACAGCCTCCAGGAAGCTGGTGGAGACTGCTTGTTTGTGGAGATGGGATAAAAGAGAGAGGGAGGAGGGGGAAGAGAGAGAGAGATTCTTTACTTGGCCTCTCCTCAAGCCAGGCTTGCTATAGTCTACTCCGGCATCACAGACCATCAGGGAACGGTATCACACATATATCTTAAAGAGACCATCCAGTATAGCTCTCCACCTTCAAAGAGAAGGGCATGATGTGTCCATCCCACAGTTCAGCCACTCATTCAGCCCTTCCAAACCCTGATGCAGAAGGTGGACCAGGCCCTCTGACTCCTGGTTCTGAGACTCCAGGTCACTCTCCTGGTAGGACTTATAAACACTGAAACTAAATCTAAGGGTGATGTCTTGGGACCATGAGTGTGCCCCTCAGTAGGTTACAAAGGAGAAAGTGTCACCCACCCCCAGGAGCCAAAAATGTTTCCTGTTTCATCTTTTTTTTCCAAGTTTAATTGTGACACGCCCCACACACCCAAGCTTCCTGTTCCTTCTTTGGAACCTGACAGTCCTTTTAAATCTTCAAAGGCCTTTCTCCCATGGATTCTTTTTTTTTTCTTTTAGTTTTTCGAGACAGGGTTTCTCCGTAGCTTTGGAGCCTGTCCTGTAGCTCTTGTAGACCAGGCTGGCCTAGAACTCACAGAGATCCGCCTGCCTCTGCCTCCCGAGTGCTGGGATTAAAGGTGTACGCCACCATCGCCCGGCATGAAGCTTGTGTTGTTATAACACCAGAAGTTCCAGAGAGAAAGGCAAGAACAGCATGCCAGGCAGCCTGCATGGGTGAGGAGCCCTGGGGAGGCCTTGCTGAACACTAAAGGGGAAGGAAGGGCCTTTTTCGGACCCCATGGGATTCTCCACAAATACAGCAACTGGTGGTAAGCGGTGAGGACAGTGTGGGGTCAGTTCCCAAGGCTTTTCAGCAAAGGATCCACTGGAACCCAGACGAAGGAAGCCACAAACCTTTGGTACATTCAATCCTAGTCTACAATCGTGGCCTGTATACACTTCCATCCTGACAGACCCATTAGCTTGTCATTGAGAAGAATGAATACGGACCTACCCTGCCCAGCTCTTCTATTTAGGAAACACTTTTCCTAGCAGAGTCAAATTTGCCAACTTCAAGGGCGGTACACGTGGTGCTGATGCCAAAGGCTACAGAAAACACGCTTAACACCAGCTCTAATTTTGGAAGATTTCCGAAATTTAATGTGGGTAGCCCCAAGGAAATAACTTCCAAACACTGAATCCCTTGAAGTTGAGATGTCTGTCTGGTCCGCGGGTCGCACGGATTAGATGCTGTTTCTTTCTTTGTTTCTAACTGTTTCTGTTTCTTGGAACTAAGAAAGATTCATTTTGGAAGGGGAAGAGCAATGGGGGTGTTGGAGGGGGTCGTCCTGCTTCTGTTCATCCACGGCACGAAAAGTGTACTGGACACACAGTTCATACATAGTTCGTCATTTCTGCTTTACAGTCAGGCCAAGTCTCCGGTTCTCCCACCCTCGGTAGGAAGGACTGATTTGATGGCTTGTTTTCTAAGTGAATAAAGCAATTGCCACCAGTCACCCACCCCACCCCCGCAGGAGGCAGAGGAATACCAGTGCCTCCACAGAGTAACTTAAGCATTCCTCAGGGAGGGAACCATCCGTGGCGGAGACGAAAACCCTAGGGGCCCAAGGGACTGCAGGACCCTTTATCGTCTGGTCCTCGACAGCCCTCCCCCCTGCCCACCCCTCAACCTGGAGAAGCCCAAGGTTCCCCGACGCGCGAGTGTAAATGGAGCAGTCGGAGACGCTCGGGAGCAGCTGGGACCCGGCGGCCGGTGCGGGGCGCGAGAAGGAGCGCGCCGGGGCCAGGCGGCGCGGGGGACAAAGGCGCGCGGGAGCGGGGATCCCCGTAGGTTGGAGCCAGGACTCACCCCGAGAAGACACACTTTGAGCTCCCGTATCGCCATCATGTGCTTTGGGCCGGGCCGGACCGGGGCTCAGCAGCATCGTCCGGGCCGCACCGCGCCCAGGCTGCGTCCAGCCGTCTCCCAGCGCTCTCGGCCGCCGCGGGGCGGAACCGTCGCCGGGGCTATTTCTGGGCCGCGGCCTCCGCGGTCGGTCACGTGCCGCCGGCCGGCTCCTCCCGACGCGTCTAGTCTAGCCTAGCCGCCCGGCTTCGGCTCCGCCCGGGTCCCATAGGCGTCGGCCTCCGGTGGCTACCCAACACCGGACTTGCGGGCAGTCGGACATCACCGGCCCTGGGAGATCTGAACCCACGGCCGGTCTCGTCATAAAGAGCCATTCGTACAGTTTATGCTGTCGGCTATGGTTCTAAGAATGCGCTTCCAAGTCGATGGCTAGTACCACCGCAATGACACTGGCATCTAGATGCCAGGACCGGCCAGGACCGGGATAAGTAGAGGAAAGAAAGGGTTAACTTGACTCATCTACTACCCGGGCTTCAAATCTCTCCTTTCCAATACTTCACTCTGCTCTACAGTGCCTTTTTCTGTGTGTAGCGAAAGATGATCCGAGAAGCAGTCGTTTGCTTATTCCAAAATCAGCGTGCCAGAGCCTAGGAAAGGAAGGGTGCATTCTAGACAGGAAGCCCCCTTCCTCCACGTCCTACAGCTGTGTGGAGCTCAGCCAGAAGCAAAGCCAGAACTGTGGCTGGCAACCGGACCATGGAGGCTGCCTGAGGCTTCGCACAGAGGGCCATGCGATCTTGTGTGAGTCGGTGTACCTCAAGCCTCTGGGATGGCTTCATTTATTGACGAATAGAAATGTCAGCTTTTGCTGGGCAGTAGTGGCGCATGCCTTTAATCCCAGCACTCGGGAGGCAGAGGCAGGCGGATCTTTGTGAGTTTGAGGCCAACCTGGTCTACAAGAGCTAGTTCCAGGACAGGATCCAAAACTAGTAGTCTAAATTTACTGGCACTAAACAACTCTGTTTGGCCTGGGATGAGACTCAGTTGGTAGAGTACTTGCCTGAAGCCCTGGTTTGATCCCCACTCCCCGTGGTCAAGTCCTTCCCCACTCTCTGCCCTGCCCCACATAAACCCAGGCTTGGTGAGTGTTAGATCCGGATTTATCCAGGCGACATTGATAGAAAGATACACACCTCTGCAGAAGCAGAATTAAGCTTTAATCAGAAGCAAGAAAGGAAGCAGCCTCTCAGGGGAAGTGGAGACCGTGTACCCAAGCACAGGAGGCAACCGGCTTTAGGGAATGTTAAGAGAGGGAAGTTTTGTCAACAGATTTTTTTCCTTGTAGTTTCAGGGCCCAGCAATGCTGGCAGATGTTCTCATTACTGTATTGGCTTTCTTGCCAGACAGGTGTTCTTATCAGCATGCTGAGTCTGGAGTTTCTCGGTTCTTCTGAAGTTCCTTATTGCATGGGTCATTAACCCTTCAGTGTCACGTACCCTTAATTCTAGGCAGAGGAAGATCAGAAGTTCAAGATTATCCTGAGCTATTTAGAAAGTTTCAGGGCAGCCTGAGTTACACGAGACCGTCTCTCAAATAAACAAAACAAAAGCCAGGGACTTCTTGTTGTTTGCTGGTTTGGTTTTTCAAGACAAGGTTTCTTTGTGTAGCCCTGGCTGTCCTGAAACACGCTCTGTAGACCAGACTGGCTGACCTCAAACTCAGAAATCTACCTGCCTCTGCTTTCTGAGTGCTGAGATTAAAGTTGTACACCACCACCGCCAAGGCCAAAAGCCAGTTTTAAGATGTATTTGTTTCTGTATTTTATGTATACGGATGTTTTGTCTGCGTGTACATCTACACACCAGAAGAGGGCAATGGATCCCTTGGACTACAGTTATAGATGGTTGGGAGCTGCCGTGTGGGAGGCTTGAATGTGGGAGCTGGGATTTGAACTCAGGACTTCTGGAAGATCAGCCAGCGCTCTTAACTGCTGAGCCATCTCTCCAAGTTCCAAAAGCCAATTTTAACAAGTCATTCTAAAGTCCTTTGGCCTCTTTCGTAGCTGTTCACATCTGACTGGTGGTTCTTTCCATTTTTCCAGCAGATCTTGGGTATCATCCGGCTTTGCTCCTGATCAAGTCAGATGGAAGGAACTCAACCCTGAAGCAGCCCCTCATGGTGAGAATACCAAAGAAAGGCCCACAAAGAGAACAGAACCCTGGAGTCAAAAAAACAGGCCCCAAGATAAACTTGTAATAAATTAAATTCCCCAGAGTAGCGGGAACTTTGTGTCTAGCAGGTGCAGGCTTATAGAGGACTACTTGTCTGGACTGAGCTGATCGAGAAGTAGCCCGTGTGGACAGGTCACAGGTCCTATCCAGTATCTCCTTTGTGTCGGTATCTCCCCTTGATTCAGCATCTGAGGACAGCCAGTTCTGTGTGGGCAGATTGGAGGCAGGCGACAGTGCCCAGCTGGAGCACAATGCCTCCTCTATGCCCAGGTTGGCTTAGCTGGGAACAACTGTTTGACGCAGCTGTGGACACTTTGGCCATGGCTTGGCTCTGCTTTCACTGGCACCTACATGTCCTATAGCAAACAGGATCTGGCCCTCCATCCCGAAGTGTGTCCCCTCGAAAGCCAAGGTGTGCTTTCTGTTTATTACTTCCTGCGGAGTGAGGGTGACTCACAAAGCTGCAGTATGTGTGGAGAGGACTACGCCCAACAGACAGTACATGGACAGGACACCCTCCAGTTCCCTTGGTGGCTTCAGCGCTCCTCCCGTTCTCCACTCTTCTGGGTGTCTGAGAGAGGCATGGGGTCTTTCTAGGTTTCCTGACGAGGTCTCCTGCGCAAGCTTTTCCTCACTGAGAGTCACTCCAACCTGTTTGTCCTCTCAACTCATGAACCCACTGAAACCTACCTCATTCCTTACTCCCTAGTTAAGTTTCTTGGAGGGGGAGCTATTGTTCGGGGTTTAGTTCTTCTTCTTGTTGCTGCTGCTACTGCTGTTTGTTTTAAAGACAGGATCTTGAACAGCTCAGGGTGGTCTCAAACTCACTATGTAACTGAGGCTGTTCTTGAACTCTGATTGTCTTGCCTCAGCCTCCCAGGTACTAAAATGACAGCCATGTGCCACCACACCTGGCTTCGTTATAATAAAGTCTGGCTCTTTGCCTTATGTGGTGATACTGTCTGCAACCAGACAGGCTCACGGGTTTATTCTCTTCCTCACACACATCTCCCCCCTGGAGACTTTGACAGGACCTCTTAAAAACCAGATCCCCATGATCAAGTCATGGACGTGCATAAGGCTGTAGGCCAAAAGAGGAGAGATGACCGCTGTGAAACAGGATGTTGGGGAATGGAGGCTCCTAAGTAGCTCCCAGGCTTTTCAGGGCATAATGTTCTCTCTTATATTCTGCTTACTTTGTGACAGACTCATTACATTAATCAGGGTCTTGTCACTGAGGCTCCCAAACCTTACAAAGGAAGTTTGTTTAGCTCACGGCTTGAAAAGCTGAAAGTCTAGCCAGGCAGTGGTGGTGCACACCTTTAATCCCAGCACTCAGGAGGCAGAGGCAGGAGGATCTCTGAGTTCTAGGCCAGCCTGGTCTACAGAGCTACAGAGCTAATTCCAGGACAGCTAGGGCTACACAGAGAAACCCTGTCTTGAAGAAAAGAGAGAGAGAGAGAGAGAGAGAGAGAGAGAGAGAGAGAGAGAGAACAAGCAAACAAGCCGTGGCATATGACTATGTACCCAACATTCAAACAGAACATTCAAGCTTTTCTCTTAAGTACTTTGTAAAATGAAAAGTCACTATGCTAAAAATGGCTTCTCCTTTTGTGCTATTTCAAGGTCTCTGGGAACCCCCTCCCCCAAGGCCTTCCTTCTTGATAGGAGCTGTTTTCACAGGACATAGTCACAGGTAACCAGGTTCAGGTATTAGTGGCTTCCTACCAAGCTTGTAGCATCTTCTTCAATCTCTACACGTGCAGAATGCCCGATGGCTACTATATGACATTCCTTGGGTGACAATAATGAGCCATGTGCCATCTTTCTGTACACCACGCACAGAGACCCTAAGGACGCATAAGCAGATAGCTAAGCATGGACCTCAATGCTGAGAGCAAAGACAAAAAAAAAAAAAAAAAAAAAAAACCAGCAGCAGCAACAACAATAACAAAAAACCATACCATACACAACAGCCACATCAATTGCACCAGTACAGGAATGCAGACCAGACTATAGCCCTCCACACTAGGAACCCCTCGCTTGGTTGGCATTGCTTGCCTCTTGATAATTCCTAGTTCAAATTAAGCAGAAGCATCCCGAGCTGACTGATAGCAATACCCTCTGCAGGATGAAATCTGAACTCCCCAGCAGACCTGGCAACAACCTCCTCACACCAGCCTTTTCTCAGCCCACTACATAGAACCGTACCATTTAAGGAGCTACCCAGATTCCATCTTTACCATAATGCCTTCTGCTCATCGTGTAGTTTGAATGAAGTACTAATACTGAGTCCCTTTTCAGTCCCTTTTAGTCTGGGGCTAAACAGATGCACGTGGAATTACCTGTCCACGTGAGATGGTTAAGAAACCTCTGGTTTCATAGGTTTTAAAATAATTTGAAACTCTTTATTTTTTTAAAACATTTTTTTAAATATTTATTTATTATGTGTACAATATTCTGTCTGTGTGTATGTCGGCAGGCCAGAAGGGGGCACCAGACCTCATTACAGATGGTTGTGAGCCACCATGTGGTTGCTGGGAATTGAACTCAGGACCTTTGGAAGAGCAGGCAATGCTCTTAACCACTGAGCCATCTCTCCAGCCCCGAAACTCTTTATTTTTTGAGGCAGGGTTTTTCTGTAGCTTTGGAGACTGTCTTGGAACTCGCTCTGTAGACCAGGTGGGCCTCAAACTCACAGAGATCTGCCTGTCTCTCCCTCCTGAGTGCTGGGATTAAAGGCATGTGCCACCACCACCCTGCTGCTCTGAAACATTCTTTTGTTTTTCGAGACAGGGTTTCACTGTAGCTATCAAGCCTGCCCTGGAACTAGTTCTTGTAGAGCAGGCTGGCCTTGAACTCACAGAGATCCACCTGCCTCTTCCTCCCAGAGTGCTGGGATTAAAGGCACTCTGGGATCTGAAACATTCTTAAGTGATTCCTCCTGTTTATAGCTCACCTAGGACATTTTTTCAAGCAGGACCTTCATCTGTATTGTGATGGATGTCCAAACAACACTACTGTTCTATGGCTCTCGAGGGTCCTGGAAACTGTAGCCTCATTGCCATAGTCTATCTCCCTGCTGTGGATTACTACTTTAACTAGGCATAAATGTGTTACATTCGTGCATGCTGCATTTGTTTAATGATGTAAAGATGTGTTGCTTTGCCTGCCCATGACACCTGATTGGTCTAATAAGAAGCTGAATGGCCAATAGGAGAGGGATAGGCAGGGCTGGCAGGAAGAGAGAATAAATAGGAGGAGGAATCTAGGCTCAGGGGGAGAAAATGAAGAGAATGAGGGAGAGAGGAAGACCCCTGGGGCCAGCGAGGCAGCTGCCAATCAGCCAGACACGGAGTAGGACGTGCAGAGTGCAAGAAAGGTAAAAAAAGCTCCAAGGCCAAACATAGATGAAGAGGAACAGATTAAATTAAGTTATGAGAGCAGGGGCGGGGGGGGGGGGGGGATGACAACAAGCAGAGGGCAACCACTTATAATAACTAGTCTCCGTGGCATGATTTCTCTGTGGCATGATTTGGGGGTTGGTTGGTGGTCCAAAAGAAAGCCTGCTACATAACAGAACCAGGAGCTATTCAGATAGTAGGATTACTGAGTCTCCTAAGCAACTGAAGATAATTCATCTCAGAAGATTCTGTATGGGAATTTCTTTCAACAGGAAAAGAGTCATCTTTATAATCTACTGGAAAAAAAAATAATTCCATTCATTCTTTAAAAGTTGACAAGAGGTAGCAAAAACTCAAGTTTCTTGAGTCATGACATTCTTGTTTAGACCATACCAAAGACAAAAGTAGACAAAGCCTGTCCCTTGGTACCATCGAAATGGCACAGCAGGTAAAGGCACTGGCTGCCAAATTTGGTAACCTGAGTTCAATTGCTGGAACCCCCATGGTGGAAGGACAGAACACACTCCTGCAAATTGTCCTCTGACTTCCAAGTGCATACCACAGCACACGTGTGCACGTGCACTCACACAAAATAAATCTAAAAATATTAAAGCTTGTGTGTGCACAAATACAGCACCTAAAAAAATGTTTTAGTGAAGCTACGGCAGTGAGATCTTGTTCACAAATGGGCATATCAGGAAGCAGAGAAACGGAACTGCCAATGTTTAGCTCAGAACCAAGGAATGGTGCCACCCACGTGTAGGGCAGGTCTGACTCTGATAACCCAGCTCCTGTAATTAGAGAAAGAACAGCCTGAAAGCAAGCAGGACTAATTGTGGACAGGACTCAGTTCCATGGCCCTTGTCTTTTTCTCTCCTGCCACCTCCCTGCCCTGTCTTTTATTGTTGCAGTATCTAGGGTGGAACCCAGGGCCCCAGGCATTGCTAGGCAAGCATTCCACAATGGCCCACACTCCCAGTGAAACCCCCCCCCCCCCAAATCCTGGTTCTTATCCACCCAGGGAAGGCTCTACTGCTTTCTACATTGCTCCAAGTGAGCAGGGTCAAAGATGTTCCACTGAGGAATTCTGTAGTTGTTCCCATGGAGCTGGGGCATCTCACACCTCCTTTGTAAACATTTGATTCCATGAGAGGAACCAGAGTGTAAACAGCACTGAGTGGGTGAAGCAACAATGTTAATTTTCTCTGTGCATTTCTGACCCTCTTTGTTCTTTCCTTACCTCTCTCCCTAGTGGGATTGTCCTCAAAACCAAGCAACTACCATCCGGTGGAGTTCCGCTGCTCGGTTTACCAACATCATCCCAGGTGGGCTGTTGACTGTTTATACGCCTGCATTTGGGGTAAAGGAGGGCCATGAGGCCCTCACCTGTGTATGTAAATGCCTTAATTGCACAGCTCTTGGGGAAGATCTAGAACTTTGGGGGCAGGAAAGGCTAGTAGGAGGGGCCCTCATCTCTGCAGGGTAAAGGCTTTCCTGGTGTGACCTCTCCCTGTAAGTAACCTCCCACGTAAGCTCTGTAAGGAAGTCCGATAAACTCCTGGGTTCCTCGGAGTGAACTTTGGCAGGATTTTGCCTCCATTTGACCTGGGACCCGAAGAGGAGGACAAGCATTGCTGAAGTCTCTCTCTGGAAAGGATTTCAGCAATACTCCCATTCTTTCTTTTTGGTCTTCAGTTGAGGTAAATAAAGCGAGATCACGGGTCTTTGGAAAACTAAACTATGAAAACACAGGAAAAGGCTAGGATTTCCCATGGGGAATGACCATTGACTCAGAGATTTAACAGGCTCTAGGGGCAGCACAGACTGGATTCAGCAAAAAATGTCTAAAGGCACTCGGGAGGCAGAGGCAGGCGGATCTCTGTGAGTTCAAGACCAGCCTGGTCTACAGAGCTAGTTCCAGGACAGGCTCCAAAGCTACAGAGAAACCCTGTCTCGAAAAATCAAAAAAAAAAAAATGTCTGAAGGATGGGAACAATTTCAAACACTTGCCTTCACACAATTAAAAACGTGTAAAAGAGGCCTTAAGTAAGGAATGACAATTTCCATTACTTGGAATGGCTGTGATAGTGGACAGCATGGCAACCTGGCTTCAAATGACACAAATGAACAGAAACAAATTTTTTAAAAGCATTTTTATCATGCATTTCTCATTTTCTGATAAAAAATTAAAAAACAGTAACAGTGGATATGACAAAAGTATATAATAAATATGTATGAAATGTCATAATGAAACCTACCATTTTGTATAATGATTATATAGTAATAAGACTTTTTAAAATAAGGGCCAAGCATAGTGGTGCACATCTCTAATTTGAAGTATTTGAGAGACAGATGCAGGCCAATCTCTGACTCTGAGGTCAGCATGATCCACACATAGCAAGCTCTAGACCAGCCAGACTGAGCAAGTACTGAGTCCTTGTCTCAAACTCCTGCCCCCACCGCCCTTTTAAAGAGATAAAACAAAGGCTGAGGAGATAGCTCAGTAGCTAAAGTGTTTGCCTTGCTGCAAGCATCAGACCTAAATTCAACTCCAAAAACTCATTTACAGCCTCCCTGCTGGGGAGGCAAATCCCTGGGGCTTTCTAGGAAGTTTAGCCCACTTGGTGACTTCAGAACAGTGAGAGGCCTGTGTGTGTGTGTGTGTGTGTGTGTGTGTGTGTGTGTGTGTGTGTGTGTGTAGGGGATGGGGGTAGGGTGGATAGAGAGAGACAGACAAGACAGCCTGAAATACACCTGAGGCTTCTCATTCTAACCTGTGAATTCTTAAGCCCTTGTTTTTTGAATTCACAAAAGTAAATTCTGCGACCAAAGAAATGCATGTGCAAGTTTGGTCTTTACCTATTCTAAATTTGAGAAATCAGACACATCTGGGGGCTATGGCATCTAATTTCTAGTCTCTTGGAGATTCGATTCATGCTATACAATCTGTGTTTTATCTGTTAAGTGATATATCCAAAAGGAGCCTTGGCGTGGCTATGGATAGCTTTTTCCCTAAGCAGATTTATGCATTCCTGAGGATCTGATTACGTGGTCTGATCCTCTGATGTTTTAAAATATCAGTATGTTGTCTTCAGTTAGGACTGCAGCACAGAAGCAAACACGCCAAACATTTAAAAATGCTCTCGCTTTTCATATCAGATTCGCCAACTGGCATCAAGTACGAAAGTCGGTGTGTTGTCCCGCTACAGGGGAACACCAGTTGGAGACCTTGAGGGTGCTAGATTTAGACTTGAGACTGTCAAAAATGGGACAATGAACTGGGCTCACTCAGAAAGCCTGGATTCTGCCCTACTTTGTACGTGGAAACCCTAGAGGACCACTTAACTCTCTGCAAACAAAAGGAATAGTAAGGTCTGTGTGTGGTATAAAGTTCACTTGAGAAAAGAGCTGCTAAATCACCCCCAAAAAAAAAAAAAAAAAAAAACCAATCCCTGACACCCCGCCACCAGATTCCCTAGGCAGCAAGAACCGTGCTAGACTCCTGATAGTCTGCCATTCCCCGGAGAGGCGGAGGGGGCAGGTATCCTCGTCGAGCCTCCCTGCGCTCGGTCACAAGGCTAGGAACCTCGGAGTGGCTGGACTCGGCCCGGCCCGCGCGCCCGCGGCCGCTCAGGGGCCGCTCGGGCGAGCGGGCGGCGCGCGGGCTCCGAGGCCGGTGCCGCGGCTCTAACGTGCCGCACGGGAAGGCCGGCCGATCCGAGCCGAGCGGAACTTTTGTCACTCAACTGTCGTCCGGCCCTGGGGCCCGGGCTTTGTTCAGTCACTCGCGAGGCCCGGGCGCGCGAGCGAGCGAGCGAGCGGGCGGGCGGAGGCGGCGCTTCCTCCACTCGGAGGCGGGAGCCTGGGCCGCGGACCGCCGGCGACGCACGAGCAGGTCTGGGAGGGGCGCGGGCGACGAGCGGCGCGCGGCGGAGCGGGCGGCGACCGGCGGTGGGCGAGGCCCGGTGACCCAACAGAGCTGCGGGGACCCCTCCCGCCGGGCTCGGGCACAAGCCGCAGGTCCACCCCGGCGGGCAGCTCGCGCCGCGCTCCGCACGCTCGGAGCCAGGGCGCCTCTAGCCGCGGGTGGGAACGCGCCTGCCTCGGGACCCCGCCGGCCCACCGGGCGCGGGAGGCGGGCGAAGGGCGGCTGGGGCGCGGGAGGCGGGCGGACGGGAGTCGCAGCTGCCGCAGGCCCGGACCTCGGCCCGCCCCGCGCGCGCCCCCGCTGGCCCGCGCGCGCCCACCGGCTCCCGGCTCGCGGAGCGGGATCCCGGGAGACGAGGAGGCGGGGGCGAGCACAAGATGGCGGGTACGTGGCCCCAGTTCCCCGGGCGGCGGCGGCGACGACGGCGGCGGCTCCCCGCGCTTGGCGGCACCCGGGACAGGCCGGCGCGGGGAGACGCCGCCGAGCGGGCGGCGGGCGGCTGGGGCGCGGCGCCGGCCCAGGACGCTGACCCGGCCTTTCTTCTCTCCCCCGGCGCAGACCTCTCGCTGCTCCAGGAGGACCTGCCGGAGGACGCGGACGGACGTGAGTGGCTGGCGGGCTGGCGGACGGACGGGCCGGTGGGCGGGCGAGCGGACTCGGGACCCCGGCGCGCCGGGGACTCCCGCGTGGCCCGACTGCGGCCGCCGCCCGCAAGCTCCCTCGGGCCGCGGGGCGGCTGTTGGGGGGAAGCAGAAGCCCGTGGGGCGGAGGCCGGTGAGGGACATGGGTGTGTTTTTCCTGAGTGTCTTCCGCACCCTCGCCCCGAGGAAGGAGGCTGCCGGCGCCGGGAGGTGTTTCCGCAGCTCTCCCGGGCTGCGCGGTAGCCATGCCCCGGTGCCCCGGCCCGCCCTCCTGGGGTTCCCTCGCCCCGGTGTGTGCAGCTCGCTGACTGGTGTTTTACTTGAGCCCTGAGCCGTCTCAGGTCCCCTCACCGCCACTCACGAGTTTGACTTGGGAATTTCGGGGTGGTTAGAAGGTGTGGCCTTGGCAGGCTGCAGTGACTAGGTTCAGAGAGCAGATTTCTTTAATCCAGGACGTTCTAAGCTCACCCGCATATTTAAATGCTAAAACTGCAGGTTTCGTTGAGATATTGAAGCTTTTTTTTTTTTTAAAGAGTTGATTCTTTTGTACATTAAAAAAAAAAAAAGAAAAGAAAGCTGCTCAACTTTTGGACGTTGTTTCCATTGTGGTGAAGGAAGTGAATTATTTAGGTATCTTTCATTTGAATGTTTTACTAAGCGGAAAATGTTATGGGTTGGAGACAGAAAAGCCTACGATGAGTTAGGCTAAGTTTATGTGGGAAGAAGTTGTAAATTACACTTGCGTGCAGACGATTTCTACTCATGCTAATGCAGATAGGGACTGATAAAAAGTTAGATCACTCGGTTTGAAATGTGTATCAAGCATAGATCATGGGAGACTTAAGGGGACCAAAAACTAGGCAGAGTTGAGCTGGCTACCCTGGTTCAAGCACTGTCTAGTTACAGGAAACCCTGCCCAGACCGGAAGTGTGGTTTAATACCTGCCCAGGTAATCCAGAGATGCCATAGTTTGCTCTTCCAAAGATAATCCTTAGCATTGTCTGGTCTGATTGTCTTTACCCAATTGAAATCCTGTTCTGAGCAAAGGGAGATGTACTGTTTAGAAAGTGCCTCAGTCAGGGCGTCTATGGATTTGATGAAGCACCTTGCCCGAAAGCAACTTGGCGAGGAAAGGATTTGGCTCCTGCTTCCACATCACAGTTTATCACTGAAGGAAGTTAAGGCTAGCACGGGGTGGGTGTGGGGCTGATGTAAAAGCCCCGAAGGAGTGCTGCTTTCTGGTTTGTTCCTCCTGGCTTGCTCAGCCTGCTTTCTGTGGAACCCAGCAACCAGCGATGACACTACAGACAATAGGCTGGGCCCTCTTAACATCTGTCACTAAGAAAATGCCCTATAGGCTTGCCTGCTGCCAGGTAAGGAGGTGCCCTCTTCTCAGCTTTCTCTGCCTCCACCCAAAACTAATCTGCGCCGAAGGCATCTCTGAGGAGTGTCTTTAAAGCCTTACCAGACTTACTTACCTGTTGCTAAATTCTGTCTGGAGACTGATGCCTAGTACTGTTTCCTTAAGTAACTGTCTTGAGGGAGCAGTACACACAGTGAAGACAGCTTCTATGTTTAATTTTTTCCACATGGGTCACTTATTGGCCTAGCAGTATGCTTTGGGTATTAACCAAAGCACTTGTTGATTTTAGATCTCTAGCAAGGTTAGGACTGGAGGTGTGGCCTTAATCATGTTATCTTGGGGCAGGGGCTTCTTGTTGGTATAAGGTGTGCGTCTTTGAGGCTGGCTGTAGCAGGAACATCTGAGCATTCCTTCACTTTGAGGTAGGTGCCATGCCCCCCTGCAGAGGCACAGGGCAGTTTCTCCGTGGCTGTTGGGGAGCAGCAGTCTGGAGGAGGAGGGTAGAAAGAAAGGGGAAGGATGGGCAGCACTTGAGCTCTCAAGAGTGCTGTCAGGAAGGAGCCAGTGGCCTGCCTGTTGCAGTCTTGGCAAGGGGCACTTTGGATCACCTGGGGTGTCTTGTCTCACTTAGCTCCCTCATGCCTGTGTCTTGTCATTGGGACAGGTCTGAGAAAAGTCCCCTCCCTTATGTCATCATTCATCACTTGGCATGGGCAGTGTGTGCTGCTCTAAGAACAGTACTGACGTGAGCCACGAGAAAAGGAGGAAACGGTATGACGTTGTGGAGTTTACCTTTTTAACGTTTAGTTTTCGTTCCGTTTAGGTAATGTATTCAAAGGCAAAATCAGCTAATTGTAATTTGGTTGAAGATTCTTAGAGAAACTCCTGGGTTTTCTCGGTTACTAAAGCTTTTACACATTAATACCTGTACCTAGAGTTTTGGGAACAGTGTCTTTAGCCACTCTGGTCTCTTGTGAAGGGAGAAAGAGTGAGGAAGAGAATCTGACTGTAGTGCTCACATAGAGAGCAAGATGGCTTGTGAAGAAAGAAGAAGGCTTCTCACATCCCAGAGCAGCGGGTTCAGTCTTCCTAATGCTGTGGCCTTTAATACAGTTCTTTATGGTGTGGTGACTCCCGGCCATAAAATTATTTTCGTTGCTACTTCGCAACTGTGATTTTCAACTGTGAAGTATAATGTAAATATCTCTTTTCTGATGGTTTAGTTAACTCTTGTTAAAGGGTCATTTGACTCCAAGGGGTCACGACCCACAGGTTGAGAACCACTGTCAGAGCCTGGGATGGCAGAGGGCAGCCAGCTGGGGTGCCCTCATAATAGGGAGAAAATTAGTTTGTGGTCAGGCCCTTGAATCTTGGTTATCTTTTTCTAAAAGATTCATGGCCAAGGCCATGTTGGAAGGGACACCAAGAAAGGAGAAGGTGAGGGTCCAGTCCCTGAGTTTGTATGGATTTTGTAGACTGGGAGAAGGAGTTGATCAAAGACCTTTGGAGAAAAAATTTCCTTCAGTCATAGTAAGTGTATTGTATTGTTTATGGAAAGGCCATAAAGATGAATGCTGCCACTATTAGAATGTATTGAAATTAAATATAATAAAACTTTTCATGTTTGAAACGTTTCAGTAATGTCTTGTGTATTTTCAAAATGAAGGCAAACAAGTGGCTATTTGAATAGATCTTCAGCAGATTTCTGAGTAAAATTTTTAAAAATTTAAGATTATCTTTCTTGAATAATGGAATCAATATATAATTATAGATTTTTAGAGAAATGCTTAGGCATTTTTTGTCAGTTTTCCAAAGGTACAATTTGATGTTGCTGAGTTTCTGAAATGGATAAGTTAGGGCAGCTGCAGGAAAAGTTGTTAGTGTGGCTAGAGAATCACTGTAGGAGTTGGATGAACATGTAGACTTACTAAAGCAGCATATGGAAGTAAACCTTCCCTCTGTGCTCTGGTCATTGGATGCTGATCACAGGGACAGAACTCCCCAAGTTCAGGCAGAACTTTAACCTAGGTTCTTAAAATACCGTGTTTGGGGCCTGGAGAGATGGCTCAGGGATTAAGAGCATTCAGCTCTTCCATAGGACCCAGGTTCAGTTCCTAGCACTTGCATAGAGACTCACAACCGGCTGTAACTCCTGCTCCAGGGAATCCAACACCCTCTTTAGGCCTCCATGGGCACCAGGCATGGTGGCGCACAGACATACATCCTGGCAGAACACCCAGACACATAATTTAAAAATTTTAAAATAAAATACTGAAATTTACATTGCCCAGTTTATAACATTGTCATGTAGACTGTTGGTTGGAAGCCAGGCCTGAAGTTCTGACATCTAATCCAGGGTGCTACTAGGGTTTCAGTTTCCAGAGTGCTGCTGTGGCACCCAGGATCTAGCTTAGTTCTTGTTTACGCTTGTTTTAACAGTAACAGCGTGATTCTGAGCATTTGGAGCCGGGTGTAGAGTGTGCCATTTCACAGGTTTTTCCATTGGCGAGGTTCTAGAATCCTTTTACATGTTTTTGGGAGGCTTGTGGGGAGTGTGCAGGCAGAGGACAGAAATGACGAGGCTAGAACTAGCTATTCCTCTCAGCCCACAGTCCTACTGATGCCCCCCTCCCTTCTGCATCAGGCTCACAGTTCCTCAAGTTTGCTGAGAGTTTCTGGAAACCAGGAATAAGTGTTTGATTGTCAAATAATAGGAAGATTGCACATTTTTAGTTTCCAGTGTGCTTTGTTGGTTTTCAAGAACATGATTTTCGGGTGAGAATTTAGACACACGCAGAA